TCCAAAATACCCGATCGTAGTATAACCTTTGGATCAGTACTATCACGCCATCTAATAAAAACTGACCACTAGGAAGAGTTCGTTTTGATGACAGAGGAGGAATTGGCTGTGATCAATAGGAGAGTTGTACTTTACTGCGTATATCGTTATATGTACAAATATAGAACATGCTGGTTGAGCGTGGTATATTGACATGAGCTGTTTGGAGGGCTTCGGCAGGGAGATTGGTGTAAATGGATGATGTTCTTACATCCAAGAGCGCAAATATCTGGCACATTGATTGGGGTTGAATCATTGATTACTACTCTTGCCAAAGTGCATGGGTCGGGGGCATTATGCCTTTGATTACTGGCACTAGGCTGTTCAGCCGTATGGGTTTGGTGAGGAATAAATCCATACCAGACCCAATCGCATCGCGTTGAGTGTCGGCTTGCGCGACGCCAGTCAAGGCAGCAATCGTGACACGGAATGTCGTTTCTAGTGTTTTCTCAAACTCGCGAATTCGCCTAGTGGATTCTAGGCCGTCCATGATTGGCATGGAGATATCTGTTCGGGGCATTAGATTATCAAACCACATTCAGGTTAATCCTCCAAGAACCTACCCATAAAAATCATCCCAATAACAGAGGAATTAGCCTTAAAAGCCTCGAGGGCCTCTTCTCCATTTTGCGCAACAACGTAATCACAGTTCAACTTCTTCATAAAAGCAATGAGAAGTCTGAGATTGATATCATTGTCATCCACAAGAAGAATGGTTGTGGGAAGGTTGGATACGGGGTCGGTTTCCGTTTCAATGGGTGTATCGTGACTGGTGGTAGCGACTTCTTCAGATGGAGGAAGACGGTCATGAACATCCCCCTCAGAGAGTTTCATCGATTCGAGCGTCCCTATCGATGGGTGACTGTATGCTTCTGTGTCTACTACCACTTTGATAGTGGGTTGGTCGCTGGCCTCTCCATTTGATGGTAGACTAACAAACAAGTCCATTTTAGGCTCATTGGTGCCGACATTGACCGGAAAGCCTGCTGAGTCGTCCGGTATGTTTTCTTCGCCCTCGAGCGAATCAAACAGTAGCTGCTGACGATTAATACACATTTGTAATGTTTTTGCCAACTTGCGCGGTCCGCATGGTTGGCTAATGAACTCAAGCACATGTGCATCTCCACGATCTTGAGCCCTGACTGACATCGAGTGCGCGGTCCTCGGAGATGGGCATACTACAATGACAGGCGAAGGAAATTGAGCACCTGGACTGGGCGCAATAGACCTGATCTCCTCATTCCCTATATCCATATATTCGTGAGAGGATATGTATAAGTCGCAATGGGGGATTTGTGCTTGTGAAGGCCCGACTAAAAGGACTTCCATGGAGAACCAGTCTTGACACAGCTTCTGTAACGATGTGCATACAGATGTGTCAAATGCAGAAGTTCCGAGACCTAATATCCCAATCGTCTTCGCGCATGCAAGCTTCTGCGTCATCGTGATGGGAGAAGGACTATTCAACTTGTCGAGGTTGTCAAGAGCAGACGCATGATTAAGGGTCACGGTTGCCACGACTTCAGTGCCGACATTCTTCTCGGAGTTGACTTGGATATCACCGCCGAGCGATAAGAGTATTCGTCGTGTGATGCTCAACCCAAGGCCATTGCCGGTTGTCATGCTATCTTCTTGTGAGAAAGCAGTAAACAGTCCATTTTTTAGAAAATCCGGGTCAATCCCAGATCCAGTGTCCTTTACAGTCACTGTGATCACTGAGCTTGTGATCTCGCCACTTTTTCTGAATTTTGCTGGAGAGGCCTTCATAGAGATGTAGATATACCCATTTTGAGTGAATTTCAAGGCATTCCCGAAGATATTCGTGAGGATGACATGCCAAGCTCCAGGCTGCGTTGAAAATTTCCAACTGGGGCTGTGGTCAATATCCAAAACCACCTTGACTCCACCCCGTACATCAGGAAGTTTGCTATCCAAGGCAGAAGTGTCGGCGATGCCCCGAAGAGGGGACCGTGAACTGCTAAAGAAGGAATAACCAGCGAAGACCGTTTCAACTGCGTCTTCTAAGGTAACATCAAGTTCCACACAAGTGTCGACATCACTTTTTCCAGAATGCGAAGAAAGGCAGGCGGTGGCCACTTTCTGGTCGACAGGAATTTTATGAATACCGCCAACGGGGGTTTTAGCGACAGAGTTTGGTCGAACATCATTGATACTAGCATGCTCGAGGAGTTGATTGATCGAGCCTAGTAGTGTGTATGCACAAGAAGAAATCGTATGAATGAATCCTCGTTGTAGCGCATCCATAACAGTGTCATTCAAGAGCTCCGCCGTTCCAAAAATGCCATGCAGAGGGGATCGAAGTTCATGACTGAGTCCTGATAGCAAGTCTGATTTTGCCCGATCGGCGAAATGAGCGCCAAGTCGGTGCACTTCTGCCATGACACTAGTTCCAAATGTCAAGAGAAATGCTAACTCATCATTCGAAGTGAAGACACGGTAGGGTGCTTTTGTCCACGCCAGAGCCCCCGAGTACCATCTACCCTTGTGTGAATCCCACAAAGGCGAGAATATGATGCTTCGAGACTCGGGGGCGAGTTGGAGTAAGCTCTGGGCGTCCTGGCGCTCAAGCGAATTTCGTGTTTTTTTGTACTTCTTGCCACCAGGACGTCGCAAAAATCGTTTGATAATGCCATCACTCGTATCATCAGATGAGATCGTTCCATCTTCACCAAAATTGAAAATCTTCCCTCGAGGATATCGGTGCAAAAGCCCTCCAAGAAATGACTCTGATAATGCGATTTTGTTATCGTCCATCAACTGATCATTGACGCTAGAGGAATTCGAAGTGGCAAATCCGAGTATTTCGCACGGGTTCAGCGTGGCTTTGCCTGAGTTTGCAGCCTGTTCTGGATCAAAAACATCTTCGAACAAACGTTGGGGGGAGCTTCGAGATGGTGCCTCATCACCCGAAGAACAGCTTTCAAAACAACTACCTTCCGTGTCAGACTCCGCATTATTCACTAAAGCTTCCTGGGAACCGAAATTGGCATTGAAAAAGACAACTGCCTCAATTTCGATACTCTCGCGGATGAGATTGGCTGCACGTCCAAATGTTTCATTCACTTTGGCAGTATAATCATCCTTCGGTGATTGCTGCCTTGACTGATCATTCCCAATTGGCATGGTCGCTTGAGATGCTTCTTTGAGTTTCGATAAAGCCTTAGCATCTCTCTTGCTGCTGGTTGAGTTGGAAAGTGACTGATATTTCTCCCTATTACCGTGCAGAGCTTTGTTTCTAGGGATATGAAGATTGTATGGACGGAAAGGCAGGTGGCTTGGTGTTCCATTCTGAGCGACGCCCTGGGCCGCATTATGCGAAATTTGCTTCTCTTGCTGTTGTCGATTGACATGCCCCTCTGCATGGTCCATTCCACCAGATGTTGCTTGAGGAACGTTGGTGTCGACAACCCATGAGTTGCGCAGGCTACCTTTTCCCTCCACAAAACTTCCAAGGCCAACCATCATGCGCTCACTGCGGAAATGCTGGTTTTTTGAGTGACTGGTTCCTAGATAATCCATCACTGTAGCGGCAATATCAACCAGGAACTGGAGTGACCCAGCGTCCAGGGGCTCGTGAGGTTGGTCGTCCAAGATCGTATAGGCTCCAATCACCACGCCTTTCGGACTGATGATAGGGCTCGATGCGAGAAACCGAATTTTTGGGAATGTAGTCACATCTGGATGGTCCTTGAATGCATTATGTTTGGCAAGATCGGGTACAACAAAGACGTTGTCCCTGGCGTTTGACACATTTGGCATAGAATTCATAACCGATTTACACAGGCTGCGGTCATATGACATAGTAGAGCTCCCGACCCAAAGCTCATCCCGCGCATCATCGTTGCCATCATTCTGCAGGCTTAGGGTTCGAGTGGCTTCGGTGAGGACGTGTTGCTCCTTTCGGCCGAAAAGCGAGATCAACGAACGCTGCGCATCCAGTCGTAAGGTGCCCAGTTGGGCGAATGCCGTAAGAACGGGGTCTGCCGAGGATCTAGCGACATGGTCTTTTGACAGTGTAGTAGGCCCGACGTGTTGTAGCGCGTGTGGTTTGCGATGGTACGGCGGTAAATACCTGGGGAAACAAGCGGCACGGTTAGCCTACGGGGCCCTCGGTCGAGTGTTATGGATCGCAAGTCCGATGGTCAAGTACAACGTTGTGTTTACGAACGAAGGTGGTAAATTACTTATAAAATTCTCGCTCTCTGGAGGTGCCAAAGTTGGCATGATACTTTTGAGCGTGTTGTGATGTGATTGGAAGTGACATTGCGTCCGCAACAGGTCCGAGATCTCCAATGCCAAAGACAAAACATATGATTTCTCCTTGCAAGAAAGCAAGAATGCACCCTTAAGACTCAGAAAAGAAGTAGAGAAAGAAAGAAGCTTAGCGGCGCACACAAACTTACCACAAGCTTTCGATCTTGGAAAGTTAGAACTCCCAAGGTTTAAAGATTAGACTCGGTCTGGGCCAATAGATTAGATAAGCCGTGCCACGGGAAGGGAAAGGTTAGCAAAAGCCAGCCAATCAGAGTTCATGAAGAGGTTTAACCCCACTCTATAAATGTGTTGTGATTGGCTAAATTGGGCGTAGAAGCCATGTCTATGGTGTGACTACCCAATGTTGAGGTCTACAAGTTAGTATATGAGATCATGAAGCGGAGTGTGATGATATTGTAGTGTAGTGAGCTATATAGGTAAACCTTAGCACGGGGACGAGTCTATACACCTACTGTCTAGATGTAACAAACCATTTCTAGAATCATTCTTCATTTCAAAGGCCTGAGATTCAAGTGCTAGCTAAAAGATAGCCGTGAATGTCAAACCAAACCCATCCTATTTGACATCAACCCCTGAAGATCAAACCAAACAAATATCCCCATTTCCCAGAATCCCACCACAGCCTTCATCTTCATACAGATCCATCATAAGTGATAATAGATAGCCTAGCTATCACAAGACGAAACACGGAAGCTACCCATGCCCTTGCTCAAAGAGTGGTCATTCCAGTCATCAGATGCAATTCCAATCTGGTTGCTGCAAGAGCTGTCGCTGTAGACACGAAGAACACAATCAGACCACAAGTCGTTATTCCAGTCAATGGTGTCACCGCCCTTGCAGGAGGACTTGGTGCAGCCCTTGTTGTCTTCCCCGTCCCACTGCCCACTGCAGGTGGAGAAGATCCAGGCGTTGGCCATGGGGAGAACGGCAGCGATGGCAGCGATGGTGGCGGCGGTGAACTTCATATTTTTAGGAAGTTGGAGTCGGGTTTGAACGGTGGATGGGTCAAATAGAGAGTTGACAATGTAGATGTGGATAGAATGTTTGGTATTGAGATAGAGATGGTGATTTGGTTGTGTTGTAGTGGATGATTGAGTGTATCAGCGAGGACAAGTGGTTGTTTATATAGCTTCTTAGATGGCATTGAGCCTGCTATTAATAGAGCGAAAGATTCAACTCCATAGATGCCAATGCTCGTATCGTACCGAGTGAAATCAGAATAGAAACTAATATGAGAGATCAACATCGTCGACAGGGCTATGATTCCAACCCTGAAGGTTGAATACGATAACTATTACTACATACTTAGTGGATGACACTGACGATTGGTACTTAGTCCGCTGTTGATATGGTGGAGGTTCTGTCGATCAAAACTGAACATGGTTCTTTTGCTATAAGAGCTATTGGGGAATAGATCATCTGGGGATTCTCGTATTCTCGTTTTGAGACCCATCTACTATAGTGTGAAGCAAAAGAGACTATTCTCAGATGACATTTCGGCCATGCCACTCGCCGAATAAGTCTACTCCTAATACGAAGACTCTGCTAAGATATCATGTCTAGGAAAATACCAGATAACGTATGAGAATCGTGCAGATGTTTATCTCAGGTATGGCCCTGGGTCTATTTCTGGAGTTAGAGTTAGCCCCCGCATAAATGATCGACAGGTTCTATGGCACCAACCAATATAGCAATATTTGCGGACGATCAATCTCGTATATTTTCAGCCAAGATCTGGCTGAGCAGTCTGCTTCTCTTGGTATCTCGTATTCGTGAGGCTAAAGAGGTGTGAAGTGAATATTGATCTTGATGAAAGACTGAATGGTACCGTTATCCTACACCAGGTAATTATTTTGGATTCAATCCATGAACTTTATCACAAATATTTCTCTCGAGGTTTCCTTCACACAACTTGGTAAAACAGGGCTCGTCAAACTCCGTGTAGTGGCACTCTCTGCACATGTAAATATGATCTGGGTACGGGAAAGAAGTATCGCAGCCCTCACATTCCTGCCACAAGGTACCTTTTTGTTTTTGAAATTTGGTACCTGGATTGATCTCCTCACCGTCATATGAAACAATCAACAACCAAGCTACGAGACAGTCTGCATTCTGGCCCGCGAACATGAGATATATCGCCAAGCCCTGATATCCCTGCCAGCCATTCAACGGATCATCACCGAAGAGAATATCGATATTGCGTTTGATGTAAGTACGCAGGGTATCTTTGACTTCTTGTTCATCACCTTGAGGAGCGTGGAATCTTGCGATAAATTCTTTTGGGTAGGTTGCAAGGCGCTCCTCGTTGTCAACGTATATTGGCTTGAATGCGGCCAGCTGATCCAACTGCTCTAGGTAGGTAGGTGCGGTACTGTCGTCCCGCAACACCTTATGGAAACAGCCGTTCGCGTGTTGTGCACAGACGAGGCCTTTTGTGACTGAGAAGTACCACTCGCTTGGGATTTCGTCAATCTGTCGGATGCGTACCCATTGGTCGATGGTAAATTCCCTTCTCTCGACATTCTCGGCAAAGGTGCGCAAGATTATGCATGAGAACCTCTTGGCAGGTTCGATGGAATATTTCCTCTTCTGTGTCACTCTCATTGGTTGCTTTGGCGAGCCGCTCTTTGGCGGCAACAATGGCTGCCTGATAGCTTTCAAAGATAGCATCAAAGGTCTTATTATCAGATACCAGAGCCATAATTGCCTGGTGGTACTCCTCATTGGCGTGGTGCTCGTGAAATGCCTGCGTTCGCCTGTCTAGGCCGGTTAAATTGTCTATAGAGACATTGAGTGAGGCAGAAATTTGAGCAGACCCTCGCTGTTTTTGTCTTTGGAGAAGTGTATCATCATCTCTAACACAGCGTGGTAGTCATTCGGATAATTTCGCACTATTTCTTCGTATATGGCAAACGCTTTGTCGCTGTGTCCCAACTCCTCGTTGTACCTCGCCATATCGCGGTTTATGTCTACCAACATATGATCATAATTGCGTGCCTCCCCACACTTGATGTATTTCTTGCAGCTTCTATTGTCTCAGTAGCAAGCAAGTACTCCTTTTGGCAGGAATATGCGGTCGCAGACCCCATTGCGAGAGCCAGTTATACTCTTTGAGCGAGCACGAGAGCTTGGAATGTTCAATGGAATCAGAGTATTCTATATTATTCCCTTAATGTGCGCTCTAGGTTGCAAATCTCGTGTCCTAGACTATCCAGTCCAAGCTTCTGTGGAGCCCACTCAGCCGCATACGAAACTTGGGAGGAGTCGATACTCACGGGTGTCGGATCACTGATTGATCTTTTGATTTGGGGATTTTTGCGGTTCCCAGCCTGATGAATCAATTAGTTTAAAAGATCTCCAATGTCATCCAGGAAGCTCGGGGCTTGGAGTGAAGAGAAGACAACGCATGTGAGAAGATTCAGGTCAGAGATGTCTCCTTCGCTGAGTGTCTCATTCAGGAGTTCAATATTTCTCGCGATAGCGTCGGATTCCTTGCCCCCTGAGCGGAATAGAATATCCCTGGTTTCACCAGGTCGATGTTTCCGCTGATTTCATGCAGCAGGTGGCCGATATTGACAAAGTCGCCATGGGTCTGGGTCTTTAAATTTTGTAAGATCTTGTCTCGAAGAGAAGACCTCTGATGAAAAGCCGCTCGGAATCTCCATCTTCTTCGCACGGTCAATAATAAGCTTCTTCACTTCATTGTTGTGTTCGCATGCCACATCAATTATCGATATTCCTCCACCAAGCCGACCTTTGGCCTTGCTCATTTGTTTCATTCCGCGCAGTGATAACCATGCGGGGCTTGAAGTTTGACCGGGTTCTAGAGGTAGCCAGTAATTCCTCCAAAATGTGGACAAACTCCTCCAGTTCGCTCTTCTCTATCTGATCAATGCCATCCAGGAGGAGGAAGGCTGAGTTACTCTTGTACAATTTGGAGATATACATGATACTACTACACAGCAGTACTATCATCTCCTAGGGGCCTCGAGGATGGGGCTTCTCATAGGAAGCATTATACATTGGCCCTGTACCCTAAGCTGACTAGTGGGGGGGAAGCCCTTATACCTCTGAAGTGATATTCCTCTTAATATAGAGGGGCAAACTCACGATTTAACCCAATATCTGCTACTAAGGCAATTCATCCTATTCTTTCTCCTGGGCTTTGATTGGCCATTTATACCCAGAATGTTAAAGATCCATTGATAGTGGTGTTGGTGAGAAGGCGCTTTATCTTCTTGAATAGTTGTGTCTAGTTATACACCCCCATTACATGCTAATGTTTTATTTGAAAAAGCAAATAAAAGTCCGGGACAAACCCTTTGAGATGGACCTCTGTACCACCTATAGGGGGCGTGCGTAGCTGCTTTGAGCCTTAGTGCTCACATAAGATGCATGCAATGTCTAACTATGTTGTAGTAGTTAACTAATGTCAGCATATAACTAACTAGTTATTGATGGCCTACCCCTTTACTGACATATAGAAATTGATCGCCTAAGCTTGTAATAGATGGATTTTCCATTAGACATATCACATCCCTCGTCATCTCGCACAATTGAAGTGTTAGGAGTTTTTGGCAAATTTGACAGAAATCTGTGGTACGAACAATATATGATATGGATGACCGACGTTGAGAACTCTGACAAAAACCCGCTATTTCAACAATCTGTGCGAACATCGATGACTAACTGTGTTATGTACTTTTGTATGGTATGCTTGGTACCAAGTGTCGCATGATTTTCTGTGTGGAATACCCTGTTCCAACCATGTACTCGACTTAGTATTCGACACAATTGATAAATTGGCGGGCGATTTATAGCCTGGATTTCAATTTAACGTCAATTTGGGAAACTCCAGCCCCCTGTAAGCCGCCAATGGCGCCCATATCAGCCAGCTAGGCGGGCCGAGTATCCTGCGCGGGGTATGGCCATGTGTCACCTTGCAGATTATCGTGGTCGCGTAACAGCTTCGCACAACATTAATTACATGACACTCTAGATCCTCCCGAGGTCGTTGACAGTAGCACCACTTTAGAACTCGTACAATTTGTTCAAATTCTTATAATTCTCGAATACTTTCCTCATGGCCGCTAGTCAACCAAACATCGGCATTCCCCCTGAGCATGAGGCTTCGTTCGAAGCTTTCACTCAATCTACTCAGGAAAAGGGGTTGTTGGATCGGCCCGAGAGTCTGGAAACCCGGGATCTGTGCGACGGGCTATCAGATCCTCCCACCCTTCTGTACGTCATATACACGAAATCTAGTTTGTTCCTATTAGTGCTAACCCCACTAGGCGATTCCTAGTCGCCCGTCGATTTGACCCCGATGATGCTCTCAAGCAGTTCCAGGAGGCATGCAAATTCCGTGAAGAGAAGCGTATCCTCAGGCTTTACGATTTAATCGACATTGCCGATTTCGAGGAGGCTCGTCAAATTGTGAGTATTAGTTGATGCTGAGAGTATTAATATATGCTGATATGTCCTTTAGTACCCCCATTGGACTGGTCGTAGGGACAAAAAAGGGCTACCCATTATCATGCTCGACTTAGATTGTCTTGACAAAGATGCCGTTGCACGCTGGGAAACGACGCGGAAAAACAGTCGCTGGATAAATTCCCAATCCGAAAAAGTCGAAAAACCAACTCCCGACATGTTGCAACTGGCCTCTGTATACCATGAAAGTCTCGTTCGGTTCATCCTTCCGCTTTGCTCGATGATGACAGACAGGCCGAACCCTTCAGTTCCGGTGACCAATTCGATCTATCTTGTGGATGCGTCCAATTTGAGCTTAAAGCAAGCATGGGGGTTGAGATTCTTTGCCCAAGAGATCAGTGGGCTGTTGTCGACATGTTACCCAGAGACTATTCAACGTGCCTTTGTAGGTTGCTGATTTATCTGGCTCAATGGCATTGTACTAGTGGATACCTATTAATGATTATTATAACAGGTATGCAATGCGCCCTCGTATTTTAGCACAATCTGGAGGTACGTCAAGGGCTATATCGACCCTCATACTGCAGAAAAGATCGAGGTGCTCATGGGTCCGGAGGTCCTTCCCACCCTCAGAGAGTATATGGACGATGCCAGCATTCCAGCCAAGTTTGGAGGTAAATTTGAATTTACCAATGGAATGCTGCCGGATCTCGACGATAATATCCAGCAGCTTATGAACCCAGATTCGTCCAAGCCCCTGCCTCCTGGGCCCATAAAATGGATCCAAGACTCAGATGGTAGACAAACTGCATTGGCTGTTGGCAGCAATGCTGGATCTGAGAGAAACGATAAGATCGCAATACTTGATCGAGTTGGGCAATAACTTCAATGTTCACTAGATTGATTGTTTTGGAGACCGATGAGATATAGAATGCCTCAGGCCTTATTAATGCTGCCTGAGGCAGAGCGGTCTTCACTGACCGTTAGCTCCAACCTTCTCGTGTATTGAGTTTTACGACTTGGGACTGTGGAGACGAATAAAGGGGGAAATGAATGACAGCATGTCCAAAGAGGAAAAAAAAAAAAAGAAAAAGAAAACTGGAGATTCGAAAACCGGAAACTGAGTTTATCTTGTAAAGCGGTTGCGACATGACGCTATGAGGTCATGTGTCATGTAACCGTAGGTCCAACCGCCTCTTGGCAAATTAAATTAGTTCCAATCATGCCCAATAATTTAGGTACATGATATTTATTCTATACTTCATATTGCCAAGTTGACTTCCGTAGAGCATATTGGAATAAGATCAAATAAGACAAAATAAGGATTGCAGAGAACGTGGTGGTCCCCACCGGATGCACAGACTGGATGATCTCTATCTTAGAGCAACATGGATCCTCTCTAGACCCACGGAGCCACGCTTTCTTGGACGAGCATTTCCTATTCCGGCTAGGTAAATGTCCATGTTTCCCCGTCACGGAGTAGGTTGAATCGGCTTTTCAATCTGTCTTGCGCTTCTTTTTCTCCTTGTCCTTCTGCTTGTCCTGATCGACGACTGTTTTGAATATGAATGCGTGAACTTCATATACTCGTGCGCCCCTTAACGTTATACTTTGAGCCCTAGTCATCACGAGGCTAGTACCCCCAAACCGGGAAATTAGTCCTAAGGGGCGGTATGATCGCACCGAGCTGCCAGCTTGCGATTATCACGGACGAGATTTATACACACCCAAGCTGCAAAGCCTGTTAAGGAAATATCCGCGTTCAGGATGCCGCACATGATGACGACATTCAACTCACGCGCAGGCCGACTCGCGGTGCTCGCAGTCTTTTTTATCCTTGCCCTTATCTGGATTTTGCCGAGACAGGAGGCCCAAGTATCTCCAACCTTCTATGCTGGGAATGGATACAATAGCAGTCACCCTATCGACGCTCTGATCGATACCGCGGAGACCGATCTCCACGAACTCTTAGGAACCCAGGCGCACGACCTCCAAACCGCCGCAGAACAATATCGAGCGCGCCGCGGAAGACATCCTCCTCCGGGATTTGGAGAATGGTACAAGTTCGCAAAGTCAAAAGACTCATTGATCATTGAAGAATTTTTCGATCAGATCTATCACGACCTGACTCCATACTGGGCTCTCGAGCCGAAGGAATTGCGTCGACAGGCTAAAAGCATCCCGACCCGTATCACCATTCGCAACAAAATTGCGATATTGAAAACCGATGAGCCCAGAAATTGGATGGACTCATGGTATGATCTGGTCGCCAAATTGGAGGACGGACTTCCCGACCTTGATATGCCGATCAATGTCATGGATGAGACCCGACTCGTCGTCCCCTGGGAGGAAATCAACGAATACCTGCAGGAGGAGCAAGCAAACCGCGTTATGATGAATCCGAGCCATGTCATCTCCGAATACATGTCTTTGGTCGATTCGGATCACGATGACCTGGAACCCTACGATCCTAGTTTTACAGTTCCAGGCGAGGGAGGATACTGGGAGATGGCTCGGGTTGGCTGCCCGCCTGGAAGCCCTGCACGCAACATCACCCTGCCCAAGGTGGATTTCAGTACTCCTCCTTGGGAATATGATAATTTCGAGAGAATGTCATACCACGGTTATGTATCAAACTATACGCTGACCAAGGACCCGTGTGTGCGCCCAGAGATGCAAGTCTTGCATGGAACCTTCCTTGAGCCAATCTCTGTTTCAACCTCGCACAAGCTCATGCCACTGTTCGGTGGGTCCAAGCTACCAATGAACAATGAGATTCTTCTTCCCCCAGCGATGTACTGGGCACAGAACGACCATTATTCCGGTGGAGAAACGGAACACGGTGGTTCCTGGGCATCGAAATCAAACAAGGCTGTATGGCGAGGTGCTGCTACCGGAGGCCGAGCCCGAGAGCCCAACTGGACGGGCTTCCAGAGACACCGATTCATGTCGATGATGAACGCGACATCAGTGTCTCAGGCCGAGAAGAACCAAAGCCATGGTGTCAACTTCAGACTTCCAAACTATGCCGATTACAAGTTGAAGGGCGATGGTTTTATCCCGCAGCTTCTCTCAGAACATACTGACACGGGGTTCAACCACCTGGTTTGCACTCCTTATATTGAATCGGACCCGACCTGCCCGTACCTCGATCCATATTTCGAGGTCGCACCTGGCATGCCAATGAAGCAGATGTACAACTTCAAGTATCTACCCGATCTTGACGGGAACTCGTTCAGTGGCCGGTACCGTGGATTTATGTTGTCCACTTCGCTCCCTATCAAAGCTACTATCTACAATGAGTGGCACGACTCGCGACTGATCCCTTGGATACACTTTGTCCCTATGGATACCACCTACCTCGACTTTTATGGAATTATGGCTTATTTCCTCGGCGGACGGGACAAGGTAGCCCGTAAGATTGCCCTCGCTGGGAAAGCCTGGGGCGAGAAGGTCCTCCGACGGGAGGACATGGAAATCTACACATACCGACTTCTCTTGGAATATGCACGCATTTGTGATGATCGGAGGGAATTCCTGGGTTATGTCGACGATCTCAAGATGAGTTAATTGCGACCATTGAGGAATTGGTCTCGGTACGCATATGTGTAAATCCACGCCTACGGTCAACCCTCCAGAGTTCTCAGCAGCAGCAGAGTTGATTTGTCGGACGTGATCATCAAACTTTCTTCAAGACAGGAAACATATGGTCTTTCCTGGGTCCTCACTTGGCGGCCCATCGTAGGAGTCCCCAACTGCTTGGGGTTTCTTAGCTTCGCCCTCTGGGCACTGGTCTCGATGTCTCCATTCCGGCATCATTGGCACTTTCCTTTCAGACTTCGGTCTTTCTCTTTCGACCTACCTTGTGTCCTATTTTCATGTCATGTTGTTTTTACTTGTTGATGATTATTGATACCATGGGGAAACTTCTTTTTTGGCTACTGCCTGATGTATATAAATTGACGACTTTTGCTATTTATGATTTGTTATTTTCTCCCCTTACATTGTTCTTACACAGATAATTCCTAACTAGAAAGAAGCACTATCTCTCAAACTCTGAAACTATGACGCGCCTTACTCTTTCCACTCATCTCTCCCAAGCCTGACAATATCAGCCTGTTCCAAAACCCAATATTTAGACGGGGCTTTGCCCTCTTCAACCACACGAGCAGCTGCTACAGCTGCTCTACCAATAGTCGTTTGGTTTTGACCTGCTCGCGCGAGTTAGCTCTAAAGTTCCAGAAGCATTTCAAGTGTTGGTCAGCACAGACGTACCAACTTTGTCCTGGACACCCTGTCCTAGCTTCTGAAGACCTTCCACAAACTTCTCTAAAAGGAAAGACTTTGATTCCTCCCTTCCGATAATCATCCCCGGTCTCAGAATGATAGCATTGTCAAAATTAAGCTCCTCGATGGCATCCTCGACACCAACCTTCATCTTCGAGTATGGAACCCAACCCCAGAGAAAGCTTCTAGTACCTCCACTAGAAATATAAATGTAAGTCTTCACGCCTGCCTCCTTAGCTGCTCGAGCATTCTCGACACATAAATCATGATCAATCTTCCACTGATTCTTGATGCTCCCCGCTGTCGCCGTCGTAGTACCGACCGCATTGAAAACAATTAATGGCTTCGGGGACAGGGATGAGATCATGCTTCCCCATTTCGAGGTGTCGCTCTCCTCAAGTGCTTCCAGCTTATCTGACTGTGCATTTGGGAGTCTCCTGGAGATGGTCTTCACTGTTGAAAATGTGTCTGTCGCGAGGAGTGTAGCCAAGATCTGAGAGCCAACTGCTCCAGTGCAGCCGAATACCGCCGCAGTCATGATGGGGGCTTGTGATACGGGCACGATCTTGAGATAAATGGTGACCTTCCAAAATAAGGGATGGTCGTCCAAGCGTTTGCATCCCCGATCTCTATGAAAGACGTCATCTACATGTTACCGGGGGCCACTGTGATCCCGAGAGATTTGTCTGGTTTGCATAATCTCGCTTCCTCAGGCAACACGGCCTGGCATTGGCTCGGCCAGTATAAGTTATAAACACCGAATAACTTGACAGTGTGGAAACTAGACCCCCACTTGGCTTTTATAGGGCCTAATAGGCCCTAAACAGTGTAAATATGCCGGGAAATCGAGATGCTGAGCAAGGTTAAACACCTTTTTTAATTTTTCTTAATTACCTTATGTTTAGTACCGTTCCTAACTATAATGCCTAAGTTAATATCTTATTAAGTTAAACGATTTATAACCAGTTACTAGTTATATTTCAAACACGCGAGTTCATGAAATGTCTTACATTCGTTATCGGGAGTTGGAAGAGAAGCACAAGAACTCGTAAATCTTACGCCCTGTGCGGGATTTTCCGCCAACCTCGCGCCCTACTACATGGCTTTATTTCAAGCTCACTAAATACCACCTTCGTAGATATATTTAAGTACCGAAGTCTTCCTAGTACAATTCACAGATTCAGAGGTCACCAAATATAAAAAATAAACACATCTTTCCAGCCAAAAATGAACGAGCTTAATTTTCGCGTCGCGACCGAAGAGGACGCGGCTCAACTCCAGCAGTTAGTGGAATCTGCGTTCCGCGCTGAGGATAGCAGAAAAGGCTGGACAGATGATCTAGGTCTCTCGTCAAGCTTCCGCCTCGATGTCCAAGAGATTTTGGCCTTGATTACCAAACCGGACAGCGTCATGCTGATGGCAACCAATGATCAAAATACGCTCGTCGGCTCGATCGGGACTTCCAGGCGCGACGCAAACCACGCTCGTCTTTTCATGCTCGCCATTGATACCAGCCAACAGCGCGGCGGCATTGGGCGACAGGTCTTGGCATATGCTGAAGACTATTGTCAACGGACTTGGGGTGTCACGACGCTTGGATTAAACGCCCTTTCGAATCGCCAGCAACTTATCCTGTGGTATTCGCGTCGTGGATACAAACCGACGGGTGAAACAAGCTCCTTTCCTCGCGAGAAGTTCGAGAACCTGGTGTTGCCAGGTGATCTTTGTTTTGTGGAATTTGAGAAAGTACTGTGAATAGAGGCGATTTATATCCTTACATAGAAACTATCCAGTCGGACTTTCCTATGTTCACCAAGCGCACTGGAGTTGGCATTTTATACGGTCGAGCGCGCAACTTGGAATTACCTGAGCGTAAGCCTAAGTGTAAACAAGGCTCAAAAATGGACATCATTACCAAGGTCGCATCATGAAGACCCTGTATGCTAGAAGATCACTCGCCCTTAACGCATTGTACCACACGCTATCAAGGCAAAATAATGGCTACAATCAGCGATATTGCCGGTTATTATTTCCGACATGGTGTGTGCTGTTTGGCGCTTTTCTACTCAGTATGTTGAAGCAGATTAAATTCTCCGGATGATGAAAGTCCATTGCCTTGTTTAGGTCACTTCTTTGGATCATATTGACCGTTGCACATATGTGGGTAGCACAATTGACCTTGCTAGTGGGCTACTGGGAATGACACATATTGTTCATTGGACATCCCTAGCGATTCTGAAGGAGGTGGTGCTGTATGCCTCTCCATACAGCCATTATTTATTTATCATCACATGCATACTAATATTGTGTAACCTACCTATCTCTAAAGCCCCATATGTATGTAAAATTCAACGGTAGAGTACCAAGCGTACATTTGTTATATAAGTTGGATGGCCACTCAGATATTGAAAGGCACAAAAAGGGGAAGTCTCTCTTGTCTCAAATTTCCAATACCTCTCCATCTTCCCATTTAGTATGAACTTGGAACCAATATTCCAGTCAGCTGTGCCATCATGTCTAAAACCTTGAAGTATGATCTGACTCGTTCATCTCCTCGCTATAGGCCACGCGCAGCCCGGACAAATGCTCCAATGCAAGAAAGAATTTTTAAAGCCTCGAATACGGGATAATGTACTCAACGCTCTGCAGCAAGACCCAAGTCTAGGACCCGGGGACGTGGTCGAATTTCACTATCTTTCAGGCAAGTGGCCTGCTAAACTTGATCAACTCCCGGGAGAAAGCAATCATCGGTGGGCATGGGGACATGGTGAGAATTTGGATGACAGTTTCCGGGGTCTTGAGCAGTCGATCGATTATATCTTTCGGTATCTTGATAAACAGGGCCCATTCCTCGGTATTATGGGATTCTCGATGGGCGCCGCTAGGGGTGCTATAATTGCTTCTCTTTTGGAGAAAAGACACTCGATCGGCGATTTAAAATTCGACGTAGGTTGGGCGAAATATTATTGCATTGAGCATGCGCAGGTGGTATCACGGTAGCTGACTTTCTTTCCTTCACGGACGAACCACCCGCCGTTGCGATTTGTGGTTGCGATTTATGGATTTACATTCGCAAACCCTCTTTACAATAACTTACACAGTCCAAAGATTGAGACACCGATCTTCCTCGCCATTGCCAGCATTGATGTAATAGTTGCTGAATCTGCATCACTTAGCCTTCGTGATGCGTGCACAAATACTGCTTTGTAGTTTTTTGAAGGGGCACATTATGTCCCACGAGATGAGCTCTTCTTGAAATCCTTGGCTCAGTTTATTGAAGATGTTTTGGGTATCAAAGAGGACCATGAGGAGTATTGGGAAGATTGCGGAGATCATTGAGTTTGGTGCTTTGTCCAAATCGTCAGTATCGTGGAATGAACGGGTCAAATGAATTGATTTTCGGTTTGCTAATGCTCTTGTACTAATTCCTGTATGTAGTCGTTCGTAGGCAAAGTGGTATAGTCTTAGTCTCAATGGAAAACTGGAGGATTTCTTGCATAGATAGATGACGATGCTCTCTCGATAAAGCTATGTCAAGCTTTGGTGAAACCGTGGATGCGTCCTTTCGGGTCCAATACAAAGTTCATCAGAATATAAATGTACCTATCTGTATAGAAATCAAACAACAACTTGAGCTTATCTTTTACATGGCTTAAATAAAGAGCGCCACAGCCGAATCCAACCTCTGGGCTTAACATATTTCATGGTTAGTTGAGTTTGCTGCAAATGGTCAATCGGCTACTTGGTTGCCTTCTCCAAATCCGCAGCCCAGAGAGCTGCACCAACAGTGTTCGTAAATGAAAACGCGATAGAGGCAAATGGTATCATTTCCAAAACAAAGGCTGCAATCCCAAGTCTGAGGGGACAGTCAGTATGTGACCAGATAGCACCCGAGGAGAAAAGGGAACGGTTTACGCACCCAGTGTAGGCAGCCTGGTTTTTCTTCACCCACTCCTCTCGCATCGTAGAGTCCCAGCCCTTGAGCTGGAAGTATCTGGCATGAAGTACCGGCCCTGCTTTTTTTCCCTGCATAAAGATATACAACACCGTTCCGACCACAGGAATGAGGTTCAAAGGTAGGTAGAGCAACGATCGCAGCAGCGCCCGTGGGTTCAGCCGCGCGAGAGGGCGAGTAAATATCTTACCCAGCCTAGCCATCGCATCTTTCCCTCCCGATCGGGGATTCATCTGGCGTCCTTGTGCTACGAGTGGCTCCTGGTCTCGGGCGACCAGGGTGCCATCGAAGGTATCGACCAGGGCGTCTTCGATGAGGAATGAGCGTGAGAGGACGTTTGTTATGGCGGAACTTTCGCCAAGGACGAGAATCGCTGCGGAAATAGCAGCCAATGGGCCACTAGTGAAGGCCATGATGGCCATCTGTGGCACGTAGGTGAAGAAGAACATGACGGACGTGACGCCTACTCCAAGCGTGATAGTTCGGCCGGCGCGAGATATAAAAGGGCGCCAGAGGTCTTTGTGAGTCGCAAAGTAGATAATTCCCTAAGATCCATGCAATTGCAGTTAGAGATGGTCGGAAAGCACCCTCTTCAAATGGCATAGCTACTTACCTTGAATGGATACAAGTATGCGCCCGACGTAATTACATCATGAGCAACTGCTTGAGTATTTTTGGCCTCGGCAAGCACTGCATTTTTGATCTTCTCAGACATGGTGTAGCCTACAAGTTAGCAGCATGGGGTGGGAAAGAACGAGCTTTGGAAATCGTGGGGAGGTGAAGATGATGACGTAAATATGCAGTTCGACCTTGGTACCATCCATGGACGCACATATCCGTTTTGCTCCTACCGCTTCTAGATTCCTACATTCCCGTTGGTTCATTTCTGCCTAAATTATTCTGGCCTTCTCACTAGCTTATTTTGTCCACCGCTTACGGGTAGTTCTAGTTCACGGCATCCTATCAAAACTTCGTACTTTTCTACAGTACGGGTGGAGTCACAACAAATCATCCAGGGAAATGAAAGATGTCGTGCTCTGGGCGCACTCCAATATTTGTCGGCATTGGAAACTGAGAGCCAGACAGAACATCAAATGTCCCTGGAGCAAGACTTAGCGATACCTCCGAGCTGAACAAGCCCGGATTAACCAGTTGCCAAGCCCACGCGCTGGATGGCGACAGTGAAAATGATGCTGGTGCGAATCCGGCTACATTCGCTGCACGTTTATTTGTCAGTCACATGAAGTGATACCAAGGAATGGATGGACATTCTTACCATCAAAATCAAATGTAGTGATAAGCCACGTCAAAGTATCTCGACAGCGCATGACGGTTTCACTGCCCTTATTCAACCCACCTAGGGTCTCCACAGCTGTCTCAAGCAGACCTCGCAGTTCAGACACGGAAAAGGTAGATAATTGTCCGGAGTATGCGGGTATTCTTTTTATCAGAAGAATTCCCAAGACAGCCAGGGATGAGTTGAAAGCTGCGCGTAGTCAGTATCTAATCACGCGTCATAAGAACCAGGGTATGCATACTATAATAACAAGAAAACCACCATGCACCAAGCAAATTCCCATCATTCTTGGAACCAGACAATATATTCTTACTGATTTGCAGGATATCACCACACGTGCGGACCAAATCCGCCAGCAAAACAGCACCCGAGTTCCGCAGCCACTCCGCCTGGTGTTCGTTTGAGGCTGTCATACCCGGCAGATCGAGGAATTGACTCAGGACTGGACGTAGAATAAGTATTCTCGCACCGAGGAAGCGGAGAGAAAGTAGGACGCGGAGTCTCATGGTTCCAGCTGTCAAAGGGACGTCATCCACCGCCTCCTGGGAGGTGATTATTTGTAGAGGGGGTGGGAGATTATCCTGCCACTGGGCGAGTTCCCAGCGTAGTTTGGAGATCTGATTAAGGGTTTCACTCATGGGGAGACGGGTTTGAAGCCCGAGATTTTGGTCATAGAGACGCTCCAGGGCGTCGCCCATGATGTGAGTGATGGACCTATCAAGATCAGTTAACGCTGCAGAAATCTCCGATGATGATTTGCTCACATCATAGCATCAAAATAAGCCAGGCTGGATATGGTAACACCACTGGGCGCATTGCTGAATGGTAGATAGGAGCTGGCCTCAAGTCTCACATGAGATAAGGGAATCAAAGGGGGCCGTCCGTAAGTCGTGCTCAGGAATCTTTTCATCATCAGTACACTTCACCATATACGAAATTACAGACACATACCGATCATTCATAACACACCAATACCATGACCTCCTGCGCACTTCCCGATCGGTTTGCGAGATGCTCTTCAAATTCATGACATGAAGACCAAGCTGGTATGCTCCTTTCACAGCTAGGCCATGTAAGGTCCAGGCAAGTGATGAAGACGTAGTTCCTTCGAGGTACGTCTCCATCAAAAGGAATAATTGCACTGAGCATGTCAGTATGGGTTTAATGTAAGATATGAAGTGTGTGCCATACCAATTTCTAATGAAAGACGCCCCAACATATCTGATTTTACCAATTCCATCGCTCTTTCAAAGTACATACTGGATCTCGTAGCCCTTTCAATATTCGGTGAAGTCGCCGTCATCACATTTGTGGCGAGAGCGAACACGACATTTAGACTGCCTAGCCAGGATCTCCGAACACCCCGAGTCCCGTCAACCTGCAGCTTCTTATACATGTCTCGAAACGAGTCTTCATGGATGCAAGGAAGCATCAGATTGACGGTGGTGAAGAACAAATGCAACAAGGCGTCTGCTTCCATTTGAGGGGGAAGCGCGAAGGGATCGATGCGAACTCTTCCCTTACTTTCAGGTAGACTGCTGATACCCGATGGTCTTCTCAGGAATGCATCGAAGCGGTTATCGTTCGATTGTCCATCGGTGGAAACGACTGTGTTTGAGAGAGGTAAATTGTCGGCCGAGTTAACTGGATGGCCAACGGCATGGATAATGAGGCGCAAGAAAGCCACATTAGATGAAGCGCCTTTTAAAACTTTAGACAGGGTCCCATAAAATAATGCGGGGATAAATTGAACTTTACCGAAGTATTCTTCTTCGTCAGCCCCATCTTTGAGTGCCACGGCGCCCATACCATCCACTTCATCGTCTTGATCCAACGGGCCTTTCACTCCCGGACTACTTCGGGGTTCGTGGTTCTCCTGTGTTTCGGGAGTGGTAGCTGTGTGGACTCCATGGCTATCGAATTTCTCGTTTAAGCCAGAAAGCCGCAACCTTTTTTCTATCGCCTGTACCCGCTGCTCGAGTAGACCCCCCTCTTCCCTATACCGATGAGTTTAGGTCATAAGACATTCTAAAAAGAATTGACTCACCGCTCACTGCTGTCAGGGTTATTTATTGCTACAGGCTGGTTGTACGACTGCTCATATCTGCACTCCGCGTCCATATCTTCGCATGTCGAACATGGTCGTGCGCCATCGCACTGTGACATTGGAAAGTTGAGCCATCAGCTCCACAATATATCAATGACGATCGTGTAACATACACGAGACTTGCGGATCCTACAGGATCGACACGCAACAGATACTCTCTTGCGTTTGGAACCCTGTGTTTTTGTGTTATGGGTGTGATCGGAAGCATCCATGGATGGGGTCGAATACTGAGGACGCTGGTCTGCCATGGGATAAATGTGAGAAGAACTCTCAAAAGGGGAACCTCGAAATAATATGTGATGTCGGGAAGTTGCAGTAGTAAAACGCTGGGTGTCCTAATAACCAATCACCGGATAGTTAATTTGTGGGGAATTATCCTGGACGTTGACACACTGCGGTGCCTCGCTCGTTTTTCTCTTTTTTTTCTAAAAATACCATTTGGCTTCAACTTAACTGGCTGGATCTACCACTGGGTCCCGCTAAGCCCCAGCTAATTTTCAAGTTGCGCACTAGGTAGTTAGTTATAGTAAGTTGTGGCAATAAGAGTAGGGAATAATGTTAAAATTGAAATCTTATGGATGTAAAGAAATACATGCATCATCGATCTAGTTTCAAAGCAAACTATGAGTATAATCTGTGTCAAACCACGTAAAAATAAGACTAAGTTCCTTGCCATTGTTCCATTTGCCCTAGAGATCCTCGCCCTCAACCCAATTCCCATGCAACCCCTGCCTTAACCGAAGCGGCATCAGAATGACAGCCTTTGCCTTGGTGAACTCCCTCGTATCTAGTAAGTGCAACTCGCTGCACATGGAAACATAGTTATTCACCAGAGCCATTACATACCCATCACCCTCAACGCTAGATCCGCGTCGCGGAATAAAAACTGGCTCTTGCACCATATGTGTCTTTCCAGGGAAGTAGACCTCTGTCACTCCAGTTTCAATATTCAAATGCGCCAGAGCGTTATATAGCGGGTATCCGCCACCCAGCTGAGGTATAATGGTCGGGAAATCAGTTCCTAGGGCAGGGTTCATCAGGTCGAAGAAACAGTGCTTGTACGGCTGGGTGGTGAAGCGGTCGTCAATGCGGTAGAACTCTGAGTTGTTGCTTTGGAGAACCGTTGAGTTCACCAAGTCAAGCTCCTCGGATTTGGGGTCGATGGTGAACCGGGTTAGCTGGGAGTGGATGGAACTCGGCTCGGGGGATTTTCCTTGCGCATCTGGCCACCAGAAAAAGACGTTCATCTCGCTCAGTCCGAGATCGAGTATAACGTTGCCGGATTTGTCTTCGTAGGCGTTGGCTACATGGCCCGGGAAAGAATTTTGGTAGCGGAACCACTGGGAGGGGTGGAAATTATTAGATGGCGGAAGGAGAGTGACAAGGTGTGGGGAACATACTTTGAGATCGGATGGCTTTGCTCCTCGTCGTGGAAGGACTCCAATATATAATGGAGTTTCGGGACTCCACTGCCAGTGCTCGCCACCCTGTTTCATCCTCTCGATGTCGCAGAGTTGAGGGATGATGGGGAAAAGGACCTAAGATACCGGGAGGGAACAACATCAGTAGATATTTTGCTAAAAAGATTACATGCACCACTACTCACCCAGTTCTCGGTAACAGCAAAATCGTGAATCATAGCCGAAACAGGCGCAGTCAACCACACAGTTTCTATGAACTTTCCGTCGGCTGCAATGCGATAATAACAGATGTCAGGTGTTCCATCGCCCTTGGCCTCATATCCGAAGCAGAGCATCTCCCCTGTGCGGGGGTCGAATTTCGGGTGCGCGGTGAATGTTAAACTGGGCAACTGTCCATCGAAGTCGTAAAGGCCGGTTGTCTCAAGGGTGTGAAGATCCAACGCATATGGCGGGGCGTCTTCCTTTAGAGCCAGCAATTTGCCGTTGAAGTGAACGACGTTTGTGTTGGCTGTGGTACGGATTTTGAATTCCACAGCATCGGTGAATTTGTTGCGGTATTTACCTCCAGAAAAAAATGAGCTCATTGGTTCTTTATGAGCCTATGAATGGCTGAGGGGCGTACCAAGCAATGCTCTTTGGGCCTCTCGTTCCCGAACAAATTTCTCTGTTCGGACAAAACGCTGCTTGAAGGAGACTGAACCATCTTTAATTTTGAAGGCGCTGATACTGCCATCGCCGTTGAACCACTGTTGTAGTATCAGCTGTCCTGCTTTTTTGGAATTAACCATTCGCATGAATTCGCTTACTGGGTCATTCTCGATGAAGGGCGAGAATTGGGGATCTGGCATCACCCGGTAGAATGTCCCATCAATGTCGTTCGGGATCTTGCCATACACTTCTAGATTCAGAACTTCTCCTTCAACTCGGCATGGCTTCATGAACCCTGAGAATTGTGGGCGGTTTGGGAAGTCCTTCCGGGGTTTTTGCGAGAGAACAGACATTTTGATTGTTATCTTAAAGGCAAGAAAGAAGATTATATGTTGCAAAAAGATATCCTCAGCTTGAGTTTTGAGAATAACCCGTCATACATGAAATTGCTCTTTATTTAATCATCCAGGAGTGAACCAAGTTGAGGGGAGTACAACCTCGTGTGATCTACAATCAGCGGGCATGCGGCTTGTATACCCCCGGTATCCCCGGGGACTTCGGCTTTTCGGGGCCTCCACTGAGCCATTTTCCGCTTACACACCATACGGTGGAACCTCCGGTTGGAAACATCCCAACAGGTATAACCCCCAATGAAGAGCAGAATTGCATTAGCCGTACCACTCATCCGAAAGTGCGGCAAGCGTGAGTCCATATCAACAGCCGAATCATGGCTTGACCGCGGGTGAGCTTCCCCCGGTATCCCTGGCTGCTAGTAACCTATTTCTGCAAATAGTAGGACCAGTTGTTAGCCATGACCGCAGAAAAAAAAGGAATATGCATATAATAAGTATTTCCATAGTTCCCTGTGGAGACCCGGATGAGAACTGGACGGCTCTCGCTGGTACTGCTCCCATTGTTCCTGAAATAAACACAGCTAATACCCCAGCATACGCCGCTGCAGCATCGTATCTTTCCACTCCCCCAGCATTAGTCAAAAGCGCAATACTGAGAGCAAAGACAAACGTATACGCGACCACCAAACCCAACTTCGTAGTCGGGTCATTGACAATGTAAAGACTGATAATGGCAACAACTAATAGGACTCCGGCAGATAGGATACTGATCGCAGCAACTATCTGTGGCATATGCTTCCCATTGTATATTTTTGCGCGATCGAGTAGGTCAGTGGTTTTGCGGGTCTGGAAGGTTTAGTGATCCTGTAGAAGCTTTGAGAGCATGGCTTCGTCGGCGGGCTTTCGTAGTGCGGCAAGATCGTCTGCTTCTCCCAACATATCTTTGGCTCTTCCACTGATTATCGACTTGGAGGATACATGGGCTTTTCCAGGCGTTCCCTCCAATATACTCGCGGTAAGTGGAAAGAATGCGATCGCCGGGATCGCCTAATTCGCCGGTTCGAGATTGTCAGAGCAGTACCTCTTCTAAGTTCCAATATTAGCTCAAAATTTATCAGTCGTCGTAAGGCACTCAACGTACCATACTCTTTCATTTTAGCGGATAACTCAGTCACCTTCTCTAGACATTCCCTCTCTGGCCTTGTGTGGGATCAGCAGCAAGCTGCGTGAGTGTCTCCTACCGTCGTGATGCCTGGCGAGCGTCGAGGTCGGTACTCCCCCTCACTTCGTCATCGAACTCCTCGATCTTTTGTTCCAGTTGGATAAACCGGGTCTGCAAGTGGAGAACGTTGCGCGCGCTGAGTTTCCTGAACCTGCGGAAGACTAGCGTTTCGCCATCGGGGTCTCGTCCTATCCAGCCAGCGAGCGCGGGATAACCGTCGCAGACATTCCCAAGCCCTGCGCTATCCAGACCTAGAGATTCTGCCATAACATTGTTCAGTCGATGATAATATCCAGTGGATCTCTGCAAGCAAAGATTTGCTACTTGAACTCGTAGCCGTCAGTCTTAGGAGACGACTCGCGAGGAGCGAGTGGCCACATGTGACTTTCTTCTCCGTCAGCATGCCGAATGTGGCTGTTCTAGGCTGCCTGGTCAGTTACCAGGCCTTCAGTAGGCTTAGCTCGCGTATTCTTGAATTCTTCTATACAGCCCTTCCATCCCATGTTCAAATAACATATTTAACACAGAGCGGCCAGCTACCTACTCGTTATTCGCCAATAGAGTATCTAGGGCAAGGTGGAAATACAGGGGATTGAAATCCGGAAAACCGTCGGAGCGCCATAATGGCGTGCTGCCAAGGTCCGTACAGAAGCACATAGTTATTATGTTTACTAAGCTTGTCTAGAAAAATGGCAGAGCTTTGTCATTTTAGTTAAAGTCATACATATTTTTCACGCACCCCATACCTTGGCGTACTGCCAGATGTCTGTCACCGTACCTAATATGGCTCACTTTATACTCTCCCAATGCAGCGTCACCGATGGCACCGCCCTAGCTGCCAACAGCATCCCCGCTTTCTGGGTTGACCCGCACTGGGTCTTGGCCTGGCGCCATCGGACCCTCGAGTACCACATTTCACAGATAGCCCTACGCTTCCCGCGCAACCTGCTGAATAACCGGGAGGCCTTACGACATCAGAAAGCAGTGGATCCAGAGACGGGTCGTATACTCGGCTACGCCCGGTGGTGCCTACCACCGTCTTATAAGACAAATCCAGATGGTGGCACGCCGATATGGCCCGAGGCCCAGGTTCCGGCGGTCGAGCCTGAGAAGGAGGCCGAGATCCGGCGGATTGCCGAGACGGTTTTCTGGGATCCTAACGACGATGCAGACGCGCTATTAGATCGTGTAAACGCACTCGAGAAGGAAGTGACACCAAAGACACCGTATATAAGTAAGTCACGAACTTGCGTGAAATACCTCCTAGTCTAACATGTCGGTTAAAAGCTCTAGAATACCTTGCTGTGCATCCGGACAACCAGCGTAAAGGGATTGGGAGGGCGTTAGTGACCAGCGGGATGAACCAGGCGGACAAGATGGGGTTAGATATTTTCGTCCACGCTTTGGCAGAGGGAGCTGAACTGTATAAACGTATTGGATTTCGACTTATAGGAGAGCTTGTTCAGGACGACTCTGCGTATGGCGGCAGTGGGGTGTATGGTGTATATTTCTTCATCTATGAGCCTGGATCGAGGACTGATGCCGCAAGGTCTAGGGATTGAGTTATTCAGAGGATAGATAGAATGTTTGCGTGAGGTGGAGTGTCAAGTTTAGTAGACCCCTGCCTCTTTAAATCTATGGTTATCCAAATCCACTACTTGCCGGTATTTTATTCCATTATGAATCGTTGAATATTGGTATCCATCATCTTCCCTTTATTATGCTTCATCATATACCACTCGCCAGGAGCCTGGCATATTTTGAAGGCCAATCCCATCCTTTCGTCTGCGATCTTTGTAAGGCTTCGGGAGCACACGACACAATTGAGGAACAGGCACTCATCGTATTTCCCAACTCCTTCACTAATACATCCGCCGTTGTCATGTCTGGCTGATCTCCGGAGATCAAGGGGATATTCTGATCTGCGCACCATATACATAGAGCAACACTGGAACATGAGTTAGGATGGCTGCTACGCATCCAAGCACCGTACAGGCCCATTCGACACCGAGGGCCTAAAACTGATACATCAATCGTTAGTTTACAACGTTCATACAAGGTTAGGAAAATAGCTCACCATATAAAATGCAAAAAGAGGAAACATGCCATCAGCAATCGACCGCAGGAACGTATGTGGGGCAACAGCGGAGGCGGATCTGTAAATGAGTTAAAGCAACTGCTTTAATCGATGAGAATTGAACATTGGATCACATTTACACCAGGATAATCCGGCCGAAAATGACATGGCTCCTGGTATGGCTATTACCAAGAGCCATTACGGCATCACTTCACCGCCGTTTATTTTCGCTTTGCACTGTATCTGTTTGAACTCTCAGGTGTCATATATTCCCATAGCAGCAGACTAGCTCTCTCTCTTCCTCCTATATCTATCCGTACAACATACAACTATTATCACCACATTATGTTGGGCCTTTCATGATCTCATCTACCTAGTAGACTCTAACAGTATCCACGGCTGGATTGCAAAAAGTCCGACAGCACCAGAAAGCTCCCAGATGATTATCCCGATAAAGGGAAACACCCCAATGCCTCGGTTTATACCATGGATCTTCTAGAAGATGATTGGATAGGCAGTCGGGAAAAGATACAGCAGACCTTAAACGAAAAAACACTCATACGATGGCTGTTCGTCACAGTGAATCTACCAATAAAAGAAAGTAACCCTGGCCCCTACGCCCCTGCGTGGGCTACCCGACGGAGCCACAAATGGGATCTTCGCATTGACAGGATGCCGGCATTTCAGAATGTTATTACTCGGGAGAATATCGGCCATCTCGACCATCCTTGTTTTCTACCATTCATTTCCTCCACCTTACAGTAAGTAGAGGGCATTCCATATGTAAGGCCGGGGGGATACCAGAGTTTTAGATTGTCAGCCACTTGATGTAAGAGGAAGACCGAGAGATGTGAGCCTAAATAGCGGCGAATATAGACAGCTTAATGGGCATTATCAAAAAGAAATGGAAGTGGATCTCTTTGCAAAAGGCTAAAGAGCAAAATAGCAGATGCATCAACAGAAGACTTAACTATTTAGGATAAGGCGCTGAAGATCCACGTTGAATGTATTTTCTTTTTCTTCTTTGCAGCAAATATTCTCTTCATTCGCATTTATCAATACTACGATCTGCAAATGTTCCCAAATTGAGTCAACCACAGAAGAGATCAAACAAAACAGCAGTTTAATCAAATAAACACGTAATCACTTGTCAATCCAGCTAATAGAGTCGGTTCATAATGTGCCTCATGCCTTAGGAGGTAGAAGTAGCCTCGCATATGGCAGCATATAAAGGCTGTATCTAAAAGCTTTAGTAAGTCCAAGAGCACGCAGTTGTAAATAAAAACGTTCTTTGTCTGTTATGATAAGTAGCAAGTGCCTGACTATAATGTATGACGAAAAATATAAGTGTTTGACCTGGACCATGTATAATAATATGAATATAATATTCTTGCAGTGGGGCAAGCTCATATAGTATTATGTACTTCAATCAATAATTTCAAGAAGAAAAAACCTTGCTAGGGAGTAATCGAGTCCGGAATTTAGGTATGATCACATTCAGCCAAAGGGGTTCCATCCTCGAGCCACCATATCGACCGCCCTTTTAGTCGCTTCGTCCAAGTCCTCTTTCGGTAGCTTCAATACATCATTTGCCAACTCCATTGTCCCTGCGAAATCACCTGTCTCGTTGGTTGGCGAAAACATACTTGCATAAAGCATTTTAGGAAAGCCCGTAAAAGTACCCTTGGCAAGCTCCCCAGCACCGTCTGCAAGACGCTTAGCCACACTTTCATGACTAATCTCCCAATCAGAGTCCGTGGTTCCCAAGACACGATGCAGACTATCTAGCATATCGCGTTGCGAGACGCGGAAGCTATTGATCAGGACATCCTTATTCTTGAAGTCGGCAAGTGCAGGGGTTGCTCCGGACTCCGGCAGGCTTAGGAGAGCGGCCAGTGCGCGACCACATTGATCCCAAGTGCTGACGCTAATGGTGCGAGCGCCGTCGTCGAAAAACGTCACCTTACGGTCCTTAATCGTAAAGCCAAACCATTGCTCGCCGCATGCCAGGCTCCATTCGTACCAGAAACCACATGGCAGTGTTACGGACGACGAAGCACCGGTTTGAGCATCAGCAATTCGAGCGACAGCCACCTTTCCGTATAAATCTGTGTCCTTCACAACCCCGGGGCTGACAGGGAATCCATACGCATTGGGCATGATGTAAGGGATGCCAGCCTTTGCGGCAGCGGTGGTAATTCTCGCATGGAGGTCTTCGGGAACTTGGACACCGAGAGTAATCACAAGAAATTGTTGACCAGTCAAGGCCTTGACAAGTGAGTCCTCGTCGTCGTAGTTAACTCGAACGACTTGAACTCCCTCGGGGACTTGTCCCTGGCTACCTTCGCGGGCGAGAGCAGTGACTGTATGCTGCCCTGTTTGCAGAAGCGATTGGGCAAAGGCTCCGCCGAGGCGGCCAGTAGCCTGGTGATGGTCAGCAGTTGTTCGTCGAAGAGCGTCCGGCAAAATTCAGGGCATGAGACTGTTTACTTACTCCGACAATAGCAACTCGTGTGATAGGCTTCGTGGACATGGTGAAAGAAATAATTGATTGGACTGGAACTGAATTCAATGTCTGACAGGCTGCACCGACAGTGATTTATATATTCAGGATAGGCTCGGAGTAAGCAAGACCACGGTCGGGAGATAGTCGGAGAATGGATCTAAGCATCGGAGTTGACAGTTAAAGCCGAAACTTAGCTTACAATGCCATGGTCGGATGTTGCTTGTCCCGTTGGGGGCCGCCCCATATTTGACGCCTCGCCCGTTAAAAAAATAAATGACATCATCGAGATCTGTGTGCATCCTGGAGTTAGGTATAATGAGCAGATGCACGACAAAATCAGTAGGCGGAGCAAAATGCAGATACTCTGGCAGCCCATAAGCTAGATGCTAAAACTTCCAATAAAAGGATAACTTGGATCTAAGACAGAACGAAGGTTTAGTCGTATGCCTATGGAAAGAGTCGTGTACCCCTTCATGGACACATATCTCTAGTTCAGCTCTTTCTTTTGTGGTGCCCTAATGGGCGTAAGAGTTTTGCCCGATGGCAAGGGTCCACACTATTTGGAGAGGTAAGTCCGAAGCCATCTTTGAGCCAAGTAAATTTTCACTTACCCATCCGTAGTTATCACACCGACATTGCTCGTAAAGGGGACAACTGAAGACGGTAGCATAATCATTAGTATCACACAGGAACCAAAAGACTGCATCTCACAAGAGACACTTACTGCACCCCTTCCATGCCGAATACCACATGCCACAAAGTCTCAAACACCCACCCAACACCGTAATTATCAACAAACGGCACACTCTTTTCCTCGACCCAGTTTAGCATACGAATATAATCGCTTTTAGGTCGCTGCTGGATGCGTGCTCGGCTGACCGCAAACTGCGCACAGCAAATCCCTCCAATTGTGTCCGGAACATGCGCATCTTCGCCAAATATGTCCTTGTATATCCTGGGAAAGTTTGCCCGGGCATCGTTGTTGTCGATATCTTCTTGGGAGGGGCTATTGGTGTTGATGTGAGCCGGACAGCCTGGATCATTCGTACAGCGCAGGTTCAAATATCCCATCGCATCCACAGCTTCGAGACGTAGGTTGGGCAGAGTGTTGCTTGTTTGGGGGCCAAATAGATCGTTGTGCCACTGGTCTGGGTCGGCATGGATAAAAATCGAGTATTCGGGGAGGTTGTCGTATAGGCCAACAATGAACGAGAGATAAGCAGAGGCCTCGCGGCCGCGAGAAGAGTGTGGGGTTAGTAGTTCTTTCTCGGGTCTTTTATCCATGGTGTAAATGAACGGAGTGTTGTCGGTTCTGACCACGGGCATCTGATTAGTATTATTCCCTGCCAACTGGGGCGCTTTTACTTGCTGTGTTTGGAGATAATCACGAAGCCATCTTAAGTCATCTCTGCGTGTCTTTGGTACTATCAGGGCGACCTTTGTGGAGTTTGCGCTGTAGCTTCGAGTTCTCTTAACAAGTTCAGATAGCGCCGCGGCCTTTTCTAGCTTTTCCGTTGAGTATTCTACTAATGTCAGCATTAGGCCGCACTAAACTTGATAATGCAATTCACCAAATTTAATGAACACGAGAACTGCGCAAGCAAATATCATGAATGCTGATAATATAGGTTGGTGCCTAATCCGCGAGATGATCGATCTCTTGACTCGCGCCGGGTATACATAACTTTCAGATCTGCTGTGACTGAATTTATCGTTCATTCTGAAATTTATGAAGTAAAATGGTAGGAAGAGAATTCATTTTTCTTGTGTGACTGGTTAGCTTCCACTTAAGACATGCGCTATGGCCTCTTTAGAAGCCCCCGGGTATCTCAGGGACCCCGAAGGCTCCACATGAGGCTTAGCGTAGCTGATTTGGACCGATATCGAACATTTGGGCCAGTCATAGACGAACCTCAAGTTTCCACTCTTGTAGGATGATTTCCGCCCCCATTTCTTTAAATGAAATTCCCCAAAAATCGCTCTTATACTACCCTGCCATGCCAGTCCAGCCGAGAACATGGATGAGTGATGAGAGGGGGGGTTTCAAGCGGCAGTTCATTGTCCAAAATGACGGGTGGAAAGACGGCCGTTTCTGGCGTCGATTTCGCAGGTCCTCATATTCTGTTTGATGTGGGGAACAAATGGTTCCAAATCAATTGATAGCCTGTCAGGCAATGTAGCTCGCTATGTAGAGATACTTGTAATTTTAGAAGAACTACGGAAGTCGGCTGCACATTTCCCATTGTAAATTACCATTTCAGAGCCAAGTCAAGATCAAGGCTCTCAAGACGTTGAAACGGAATTCCTCCCTATTAGATCTCGAAGTGTACTGTTCTTGATTCTTGAGCACGTAGCTGGGCTCTTTTTTGCTCATCTAAACCAAGTTCGATTACTTTATCTATATGAAGCTTGTCTAGTCTAGAGATTCCAAGTCGGAGATGGTAGTCTCTGTCGCCGTGATCTTCGGCATGCTCATCTTCTGGATCTTGCTCTCGAATTTGCTGAGCACCGCCGCGACGGCATCATTCGTCTTCAGATTCCGCCCATCGGCACGAGCCGCGGCGTACGCTCCCGCAACGGCCCGAATAGCTCCGACGGCCCAACCTTGGGAATAGTTCTTTACCGTCTGGAAGTAGTATGGTGCCCACGCCCACCACCGTTTTTGCAGATCTTGAACGCCGGTAGCATACTCGACTTGGGCCATCTGCAGACCGACGCTTGTTATACGTCTTGGAGACACGATAGTCGGCGAAGTACTCGAACATGCCAAACACCTGTTAGGTAAATAAATTCAGTTAGCGAGAGAAGATTGGGGGGGGGGGGGGGGGTGAGAAAGAAAAGCGGCCTTACGCTCTGAAGGGCTGTCAGAACCCCGGAGGCTTACTGCATCGCCGCAGTTGGAGACATTAGCACCTACTCTGGCTACCCAGTCACAACGCCCTTGTTCACTGTTACAACAGCCAGCTTCCCCGCCGTCGATACATCAATTCCCACGGCGAGCAGTGATCCGGGGTTCGTCTACACGCCAACATATCTCCCTACGGCCCCGGACACGCTTACTAACTGCCAACGATACGCCAACTATGACAATACCACATATAACCTCAATTCTTGCAAGTGGGTTGCGTGGATGAATGAAGTCACAACGGCCGATTTCCTCGACTGGAACCCTAGTCTCAACACTAATCTGAGCTTATGTGCCATGCAGCCAGGGTACAGTTATTGTGCTATTCTCAATAGTTCTTACAGTAAGTGATCTTGTTGCGCCTTTTGCCATTTCTCTCGGATCGTTCTCTAATGCCACGTCTTTTCTTTTGCGAAAAAGCAACCGGCAGTGACGACACCAGCAGCAGTGACAGCGGACTTGGCTCTCTCTGCTTGTCCCTCAATGCCACCGAGTCTACCACTGTCTCAAACTGCAACTGCTTCACCGGTGTCAATGGCTACGATAAAGGAGGTATGGATGACAACGAACAAAAGAAGTGAAGAAATAGGGCACTCGCATTTCATGATACTGATTTTGCCTAGAATACCAAAGTGCTGATATTGAGGAAGACTTCGATATCACGGAAGCCTAACTCCTTACGTGTAACCCTTGGCTCGGCACAGACTGTGACACAAATCTGTACGCTAATCTTAACGATACCAATACTCGTGCCGTCTGTATTGGGGTGGGTTCGAGCACGTCAACTACTGCCACCACAACCCCTAGTAGTACTATCGCTACTGCTACGTCGGTAGCCCCAACACAAACTGGATACATCTATGGGTGCCAGGAGTTCTTCACCGTCGAGTCGGGAGATGATTGTTCGACAATGAAGACTGAGTTTGGAGTTAGTCTTGCCCAACTCTATGAGTGGAATCCCAGCAGTAAGATCCCATCCATCAAAAACCCCCCTAGAGATGAGTCAAGCTAATTTCGAACTATAGTTGGAAAAACATGTACGAACATTTGGCTCAGACATGCCTACTGCGTCAAGGGTCCCACGGCCATGGCGAGTAGCTCAGCTGGTGCGCCTACACAGCCTGGCATCGCGTCCAATTGCAACGAATATTACACGGTCGTTTCCGGGGACTCGTGCACGGCGGTCGAGGGTGCGTTCGAAATAACATTTGCGCAGCTGTACGAGTGGAATCCGGTGATTGGGTCAGATTGTCAGTATTTGGATGTTGGCTATGCCATTTGTGTTGGCGTTTCATAGACCTGAACCAAGACCAGAATAGCAGGGAAAGAAAATATTAGTTACAGTAGAGGTAAAGAATGATCAGTAATATACGGATTCTTGTCCAGAAAATACAGCGCTCGGGCGTTGGGACCGGTCTCCGCTCAAAAGTGAAAGCCAATGGCCGGTGGGCGTCGATACTCAACGCTCCAATCCCCATCATCAGTCATGCGTGAGGAGGCTCCAGTCTGCGCCTCACCATATCGAACCTTCATCCAGCCAACTTCATCCAACGTACAGCCGTACACTGGCTCGTGTCCATCGTCTGGCCCCCCTCCTGCAGCCAACTCTTCGGGGTCCCACTCTGGGGGCCACCTCCCATTGATCAGGATCACAAATCCAGTAGTATTATACGCTTCCAAGTCCTCGGTCGGTATATCCAGCACAGACCGTAACGCCTCCTCGTCAACCATGATACACAGCCGATATCGGGCTGAGTACGCCCACTCTGCACGTTTGTATGGCACCCCTTGCTCCGTCTCGCAAGCCACCCTCGCCCACTCCTTGAAAGCGTCCCGTATTTGATCAGGCGGGGCCCCGTCAAAGCGGTGCGCGTCTTCCATCACAACAGGCCGAAAGGAATCCAACATGTCGAGCCCATCGTCGCTTTCCAGTTCTGTGCGGACACTGCCCATGAACCGATCGAGGAATTTCGCCCAGTCCGCGTCGCTCTTGTAGGTGGTTCGGTACATGGTGATACCCCAGTAACGGAACCCGTCCGTCTCCAAATTTCTCTCAATGAGGTCAGCCATGTTGTGGCACATTTGACGCCATGAGGTTCTCTTGGAGTCTTCGATGACCATAGTTGCTGATGTGGACGAAAATGGCCGAAGTAGTGATTCCCCCCTGACCCGGGGAAATCGTTGAGTCCTTGGCTTAGTGCCCGGATATGGTATTTTCTCTAACCGTGAGGAGAAGACGGCTTGTCCAGTGCAGCACGTAGACAAAGATGCATTGCTAGAGAGTGTTCTCGTAGAGGTGCTGAACAGGTATGTTGAGCTTCTGAGGAAAACTCGGGAAGAGAATGAGAACGACATTGAATCATCCGTAGCTTGCCGAGGAAATTAAAGAATTAAATTCAGATACAGAAACCGGGAAATCGCGATTCACATCCACGCTTGTGCGCTAGCCACTCACGTACTGTGATACTTGGCGCGTTTGATGTCCTGGCCCCTTGGAGCCTTACTGCCTGAGAGCCTTTTTTGATCTGTAAGCAAACATGTGCATATGAGCGTCAACTGCGCTACAAAGACTGCGACTATGCAAGCATCACGCGTGTATTATGTATACTTTGCCGGTATAAAATTTCCTGGTTCCACTAGCGCAGTTGAAGAAATTTCAAACGCCAGCGAAAATCACACTCGACGTGGAGCACTTTTTCAAGTCGATCTTCCGTCTCTTCTCATGAATAGCCAGCAGGTTCCTGCTAAACCTCGCCAAAGTCCTCACGATATTCTAGCAAGGCGCATCAATGTCTAAGATCTTGTCTATTTATACCAGATTGAAAGAGTTGTGAACTTCAGCATGTGGATCATGAGATACCGAGGACTATCATTGATCGATTGAATCTCTCTCGAGCCCAGTATATTCCAAATCAAGTGAGCGTTATATCAATTTTATAGTTGACAAGCGACAGCCTCGGCCAATGCATTCGATCCGATACCATCATAGTCAGCGCGCCAAACCTTGACTACCCTGAAGCTAGCCCGCTCCAGCAGATCAACCCACTGCTTCTCAGTCCGCTCCAAAGAAGCAAAAATATCCATCATGCTAATATCCAACGACACCGACAAGCTCGACGCGCCAACCTCAGGCAAGGTATTCTCATTAATCAGCAGCACCGAGTCGTCAGCCATAGCCTCCCGAACACGGGCAAGCGCCATCAGCGACTGCTTATCCGGCCAGTCATGCAGCACAGTACGCAAATAGTACGCCTTGGCACCCTTCAGCGGCTGCTCAGTGAACATGTCGTACCCGACAACCTCAATGCCATCTTCAATCGACTCCTTCGCATGCTCGATACCATCCGATAGGTCTTCGAGAACCAGGCGACCAGGAAGATTGGGAAATTTACGTTTCAAACCTGCAAGATCGTGTCCCAATCCGCCGCCGATATCTACTAGCTAGACGCGGTCGTTCGCAGATACACTCAGTTTTCCTCCGACGGGGTAGATGTCAAACCACTGTGCGCCTTCTACCTGACGGTTAATGCGCATTGTTACGTTGAACGCGTGGGCGTCTTCTGGGTTCTGCGTCAGCCAGTCGAAGTAGTGGTCTTTGGTCTTGTATGCAGTCTACCATGGTCCGTTATAGGTATTCGTTAGGTTTTAGTAGTCTATAGCCTCCAGGAATTCGTCCAAATTCGCGGAAGCTTTCATGTTGGCGTAGCTGGTCCATGGTAAGCTTATGAGCTTTGCAGATGCGAAAGGAATAGGTTACAAGTGCTTAGCCACTTCTGGTAAGGGTGAGCCTGTAGCGAATCCCAAGCCAAGTGGCAATGGCTTCCATGTCTGATGAGCCGTTTCGGCAATGAGATTGTGTACGGTAAGAAGACGCAGAATTCGCATTGGAGATACTGTGAATGCCACTTCATATAAATACCGTAACGAGGGGGTGGAGGGCGCTTGATTGACATACGCAAGAGTGTCTCATCACCCTTTGTCTTCTCGCTAATTGGCTCAGAGTCTAAGGTGATTCACCCCCAGCCGCTGAGGCGTCAAAGATACCCATACTGACAGCTACTCGGACACCAACAAGTCCGATGTGCTGTGCGTTAGATCTTGTGTAAGCATATATAGAGCCTATATATATCATGATGCACATACTGAGAAGACAAGGTTCTGGACAGAGACAAGCGGAGGCTCCAGAGCGACAGGGGCTTTGTCAATCGCCGCTAAAATCTGGAGACGGTTTTATTCTGAAATCGATTCGGGGGGCGGCAATTGGTCCAGCGCCGCGGTGACGATAACAACAGGTTCATTAGTATAAGTCATAGTGAGTAAAGTTGAAATGGTGAAATCTTTTGGTTGATTTTTGATGAACAATGCCTTTGCAACTTTTGGGGAACGCCATCGCTTATAAGCTCAGCTTCGCGCACAGACCTCATTTATTTATTGATATAGAGTTCCCCAGAGCTGAGTAAGTCCTTCGGAAACGAGCCCATTGCTGTATGAGAAAGGATACATGAGCTCTTAATTAGGGCTGAAAGATTTGGGGACCGGTGGCTTGGGTATAAGTGACGGAAAGCTGGTGTACGAACAATGTATGGTATAAATGACCAATGTTGACAACTCTAACTAACTAAAATGACAAAACCCGCTATTTCAACAATCTGTGCGGACCATGATGACTAACTGTAATATGCACTTTTGTATGGTATGCCTGGTACCCAATGTCACATGATGTTTCCGGTATATTACCTGGTTTCTACCATGTATTCGGACTTAGTATTCGACATACCCCCTAGTTCTTAAAGCCTGCATTTTCCTAGCTTCAAGAGCTGTCAATTCCTTCATTTCTAAGCCTTCCAATGGCTTCAATTCCATCAATTTCAGGCCTTCCAACAGCCTCTATTCTCGGATCAGATGACTGATCTCTCTCATCCTAATCAGCTTTCTAAAGAGATGCTGCTTCTATCTCGGAAGCGCTTTCGTAAGGCTATCTGCTAGCATAGCCGTAGTTAGAACCCAGTCAATATTAACTCGACCCTCGCTAACCTCCTGTTTTATCTAGTAACGATTAATATCAATATATCGGAGCTTCGTATATATCGCCGCCCCTTCCTTTGTTAACAAATCGACGGTTTGCTAGTTATTATATATAATAGATAGTAGGTAGTTAGGTTAGAAGCCTAATATAGAGAGGACTCGACGCTACCACTATATAGTTTTGCCTACCTCGGCTAGAGCTAGTAGCTCTACCTCTATAGTCGATATAGTTACCGTCTTCTACTTAGTTACTTTCTAATCTATAGGGCCCCTATATAGCTTATAAATATAACCCTCGGAGCTTTTCCTATCCTTATTGTCTCTAAACGATATATCGCTTACAAATTTAATTGATTTTATAGCTAGCTAGAGACTATGGTTTTTGTTATATTAATCTTAACGATCTATCTCTCTAGAACTATACTCGATAGCCTAATACCTAGTCTCGTATAGGTATTATATAACTCGGTCGATAGTATTAATATACTTAGGACCGGGATTAGTTAGGAACTTAGCTAATTTAGCTATAGCTTTTGTAGTATCTAGCCGGGTAATAGTAGTAGTATACTGAGTAGATCTAACCTTAGCCTAGAAACCATAAATCTAACTCGGTAACGCCACTCTATCGTACGGAATTAACTACTCGGTAGCTGTAAGTAGAGATCCTACTTTCCTTATAGTAACTAAATTATACCTTACTACTATACTCTTAATATAGCTATCCTAGTATAACTAAAGCTTCTTTTATTCCCTATCTCTAAGAATTCGTATATTTAAAAACTAGCTTATATCTAGTTTATATAATTCCTATTACTTCTTAATCTCTCGATCTAGCTAAGCTACTTACTCTACGTAGTCGGGATAATTCACTATAATAATATCGTCGATATAAAAGAAGACGATAATACCGGTAGTAATAAAGATATATAGATCTTCCGGTACTAGGGTAAGGCCTAGTTTTACTAGTACCTTAATTACTTCTTGCTACTATAGTCTTAGTAATATACGTAATCTATATAGCGCTCTATAGAGTAGCTAGTATTGATTTAATACTTCGAATCCTAGAGGGCATTTTGTATATACCTTACTTTATAGTACTAAGTTTAGAAATATAGTAACTATATCTCTCTATATTATATCTAGATTAAATATAGCTACTAATATAAAGATAGCCCTCGCTATCTTAATAGCTAGTATTACGGCTCTCTTTTCCTCTATAGACAACTATTAAAGATCTCTATAAATATAGATTCTCGCTTTAAACTTCTCTAGTATACTATTAGCATCGAATTTGTATATAAATACCTACTTTAGTAATAACACTTATATACCTCGCTCGTTCGGAATTAGAATCTAGGAGAATATCTCCTTTTTCCTTAATATCTCGACCTCGAATATAGCCGCTGTTTTAAACTACTCGGCGAATCGATAGGTCTTTAATTGATTCTAAGTCTCTAGCGGCGGTAGTAGGTTATCCTAGTATAGCTTAGTATCGAACCGCTTATTTATACCTATAGTAAATATATATAGTAAGCTTAGTAGCTCTATCTATTTATTAAGAGATAGGTATATAGTATAATCTAGATCCAACCTTAGTTTCCTAGATCTAGTACCGGTGATAATATTTAATATATCGATATTACCTACTATATCTCTTAGTACTCGATCTAAACTTACTTAGGACGATATTTCTCGCTAGAATAGCTCTAGGGTCGGCGAGTATACTATTTCTTACTATAGTTAACGCTCTATCTTAGTTTCTTTATCTAGTCCTTCTACCCCCCTAGTTTCGATCGACGGTATCATAGAAATCGGATCTAGCGACGATAGGATAGTTTCTTAGGGTACTAGATTCGATAGAATCGATAGATTCGATAGATTCGATAGATTCGATAGATTCGATAGATTCGGAGATATTAATACTATTCTAAATACTAGTAATAATAATCTTAGTAGTAGAGAGGATAATAATAATAGTCTTAGTAGTAGGGAGGTTAGAAAGCTACTAGGTAGGTTATCTATATACTCCCTCGGTCCTATCTAGACCTATAGTCCTATCTAGTCCCTTAGTCCTATCTATATTAATATTTACTCCCTTAGTCTAGTAATAGACTATAGGATAGGCAAGCTAGTTGCTAGCTTAATATCTATATATACTAGAGTTCTCTCTTTAGTAACTATCTCTCTAGCTACTTAGCTAGCTATTTTATTATCTATTTTATTAACTATATCGATAGCTATATTAGCTATATCAGCTGTATTAGTTTTATCGATAGCTATATCAGCTATATCATTAGGTATATCGATAGCTATATCGGTAGCTATCTAGCCTTACTCGGTAAGCTTAGTTTTATTATCTAAAGCTATCCTCGCTATTAATCTAGGCATTTATATCTATATACTAAGCTTAACTTACGCTTCTTCTATAGTAAGTATAGCTAGCTATATACCTAGTCTATCTATTATAGTACTAATTATATTTTCTTACTTAGATAGGGGTCTCGATTTCGAATACCGTCTCGTCTCGTCGAATATAGTATCTCGAACGACGTCTACCCTCCCTATACCGCTAGTACGTCCCTTATAAAGGAACTATACTTTATATAGGTTCTTAGAGATATACCTAACGAGATATCCTATCTCTACTCTAGGTAATATCTTATCTGACTAGGTCCTTTTAATAATTCTCGAGTACGTTAAGTACCTATATAACCTTATATTCGATAGGTTAATTATCTAATATTAGATCCCGTCTAAGGCAGTATATTTTATCAATTCCTTCTAAGGTATGATCTATTAGCTACTAGTTTCACTAGGTTTAATAACCTTAGTAGGGGTCCTATTTAGGATATATATCGCTATATATATTGCCTCTAGCTATAGAGTATAGGGTAGCTCTATATCGTTAATTAACGCTCTAGTAGTTCGTACTACTATCCCCCTAGATCTCTCGGCTAGACCGTTTATTTCTAGTAAGCTAGGTAGTAAATGCTTAATAGTATATCCCTCTGCCTCTATTATTAATTTAACCTTATTACTAGCGCTCCGCTTGTTATTATAGTAGACCACTCTAATTTCTAGTTTCAACTAGTTCTTAACTAGTGCTAGGAACTTCCTAACAGCTGTCTAGTAGTCATTTTTCTTAATATAGGTGAATATAAAGTGGTATTTAATACTATCTAGGTAGAAGTAAGTTAACTAGATATATCTATTGTAGGCCGGCTGATTCTATACTAGGTCGAAATAGACCCTTCTAAATACACTATATACTTAGCCTATCTTCTAGCGAGAGATCTATCTCGGTATATCTACTAATTAACAAGCTTCATATACCTACTCTATACTAGGTGTTACGGACCTATCCGTCACCAATCAGTGGTGACCCACAGGCATACCAATAGGCCATCGAGAGCCAACAGATCGAGATTACGTACGACGTATCCGGCAGAAAAGGGTTCTGCTAGAAGGTAGCTATTACCGGCCCTCGCGGGGCAAATAGCAATTCTACCTCATAACAATATCGATTACCTATGACCGCCTAGACCACGTAACCGTGACTCTTACGTCGACTCTAGGAGTATACGCAGAAGTATA